TAGCACCTTGCAGCTCATGAGACTAGAAGGTAGAATCCAACTGAGAAGTCATGTTGGCAGTAAAACACTGAAGATATCTTCACAGTGCAAAGAAGAGAATCACCTTGCCTTGTGCTAGGTACTTAATAAAACCCCACCAAAATATTTTACTTAACAGAAGAAGATTATGAATGAAATAATTTTTAGTATGTGAGAGTAATTAAAATGTAGAAGTTCTGTTGAAAGTGTGGAAGAACTCAGAGTAAAAAATACTGGCCTGTGTTCATGTTTATTCATATAGATTCTTTCATTTTTGTTTTCTATTTACTTACTGTATTTTAAAACAAAATTCCTGTTTATTGTTCATAGGTCCACTCAGCTGTTGAAGAAATGGATGGATTAGATGATGTTGAAAACAGCATGTTGTATTACAATCAAGCAGTCATCCTTTATCATCTGCGGCAGTATACAGAAGCAATATCAGTTGGCGAAAAACTCTATCAGTTCATAGAACCTTTTGGTATGTTTTCTGCCAAATGAAAAATTTCCCTATCTTCTCATACTTACAGAGGTCTCTGGTGCTTGTAGCCAGATAACCCAAATCAGAGAACTGAAGTCAGTTTTTAAAGAAAGAAAAAAAGGGCAGCTCTCCTGCCCACCTGTTACTGTGCAGGTGCCTCTCTTTTTCTTCTTTCTCCTTTTCCTCTTGATAAATTTGAAAAAAAAAAAAAGAGAGAGAGAGAGAAAGAAAACTTTGTAGGTTTTTCTGTAAGGTTTTCATAGTGGCTAGAAAAGATCAAAATTGGGGGCCTCCCGGTGGCGCAATGGGTTAAACACAGCACTATGAAGCAGTCCGCAGCCTCTGCAGCATGAGTTCGATCCTCGGCCGGCCAGGAAGCATCTCACATGGCCCAGCAGACCTCTCCTGCCTTGCCCGCTGCTCCCCTCAGCAGTGTATTTCAGTTAGTCTGCCTGTTCTGTTCCCCACTCTGTCTCTTGTGAATCCTCTCACCCCCCATACTTCTGGCCTGTACCCCAGCTCTTATATGCATAAATAGATAAATCTTAAAAAAAAAAAAAAAAAAAGAAAAGATCAAAATTGTATCTCTTTTAGATGAGTCACAGTTGTTCTTTTAGCACTCTCTCCCCACAACTTTTGAAGATACTGTTGGAAATGCTATTTGAATTTGGAAAAGATCTAGTGATTTTTGTTTTTCCTTTGCAGTTAAACATGACCTCAGTGTACCTGATCCTTTCCTACTTAAGTGGAATGTAAGGTGGGAATATTAGGAAAAGGATAGTTAGTGTTCATTTGTCTGTCTCCTTAAAATTTTTTTGGGAATTGGTAGAGTAAGTAGTCCAGACTATGTCAGCTTTTCTGTTTTCTTAACTAGCTCACAATTAGTAGGCCTCTAGTAAGAAAGGTAAGGGTGAAAGGGGGCAAATGAAGCAGCAAAGCTGGACCTAGGAAGTGGCCGGTAGAGAGGATTGTTGGTTTCCAGCCCATTAGCAGGCAGATTTCACTTGTGATTCATATTTTTGTCATTTTTCTCCATGGTTACTCTCTTTTAAACTTAAAACACTTAATATGAATTCCTGGTGAATAAACAGCATAATTACTGATGTGGTCACCCCAGGACAGATGGTGGGGTGTGACTACTCCTCTGTGGTGCTTTGGGAGGAGTTACTGTTGTTGACAATTGGTTGAACAGCTGGTAACTGTGGCCTGGGAGCCATTTTCATATTGCTTCTCTTCTTTCCCTGAACCCCGAGGGCATGATGGATGGACAAACAGGCCAGAAGAGACATCAGTGGTGAAGAGTTATGTATCCAGTGACCAGTTCCCTTCTTTTGTTAAGCTGAAAATCAGAATTGAATTTCTAGGATGGCACAGATATGTATTAAGTTGGTTTTTAAAATTTCCAGAAACATTCAAGAAATCCTTTTAATCTGTGCTGTGGCCAAGCAGAATATAGAAACCAACTGGTCAGTATTCAAATCCATTTTTCTTCCTTAAAATTTTTTTTTTTTAACTTTACTACTTGGTTCTTTTTACAGCATCTATTGATTGCTCATATACTATGGAGCAGACCCTGTTTTGGGTTCTGAAGATAATGGAGTCAAATTCTTTACCCTCATTAAGTTTATAGTCTAATGGGACAGAGAGAGACACAACAAATACATGTTGTGAGGTAGTTAAATGCTGTGGATTAAAACTAAATTGGGTAAGACGCTGGAGATTGACCTGCGATGTTATTTTTAGATAACGTAATCAAGGAAAGCTGGGGAGCATTCCAGTGAGAGATAATAGTATGTGTAGAAGATCTTAGGTGAGCTAGAATTTGGTGAGTGAGAGGAACAGCTGGAGGGCCACTGTGAGACAGGAGGTAGGTACTACAGTGAAGCACTGTAACCTTAGTAAGGGTTTTCTTTTCAGTGGGGCAGGAAGCCCTCAGAGATGGGTGACCTTTGCACATCAACTTCGTTGATTTCAGTTTTAAATGGATTCCATGTTGGCTGCTTTCTAAAAGCGAGAGTGAAATCAGGAAGATTTCTTTTGAAATTTTCTGTTCTTGATTATAGCAGCTGTCTTTTAGATGTAACTTTTTCTTTTATCCTTTTTTTTGAAAGGATAGGAAAAGTGTTAATTCATACCAGGTTACCCTTTCTCACTTCACTGGACTCTTCTTCCTTTGACGTCTGTATATTTTCTTCTTGGCATTTCCAGTCTTTTGATATACTCCAGCCCACCCTTTGTGTCTTTGGTCCTGTAATCAGATCATTTCTTTTTCTTTTTAAAAAAGATTTATTTATTTATACATATAAGAGCTGGGGTACAGACCAGAGTTGTGGGGTTTGAGAGGATTCACCAGAGACAGAGTGGGGAACAGAACAGGCAGACTGACTGAAATACACTGCTGAGGGGAGCAGCGGTTGAGTCAGGAGAGGTCTGCTGCGCCATGTGGGTTGCTCCATAGCCAGCCGGGGATCGAACTCTTGCTGCAGTGGCTGCAGATAGCTTCATAGGTTGCGTCTTAACCCCTCGCGCCACCAGGGAGGCCCTGTAATCAGATTATTTCTTTTTCCCACCTCCATGCCTAAGAGAATAATCTATTTCCTAGAGTCATAGATTTTTCAGAGGTAGAAGGAATCTGAAGAGATCACCTGGTATCTGCTTTTACCTTCAAGCAGGTAAAGTAGTCTCTCCACTTTGCAGGAGAGCGAGCTGGTATCTAAAAATAAGTTGCACATCTAGTAAGTAGCAGGTACTCGTATTAAAATTTCCTTCTACCAGTAATCATATTCCTCATTCCATGTACTTTAGTAGAGATTCTGCTAAAGGAGGTTTAGTTACTGTAATCCCTGAAATTAAGGCCCTTGAGGTGCCCCACAGAATGGTGGTGTTGTCGATGCAAGTTGCTTCCACTCATGGTTCTAGGTGATCAACAATCATTTAAGTAAAGATGTAGGTTTTGCTCATTAGAACTATTTTTGGGGGGTTGTGGTCCTGAGATGTTTGCTTCACATTGGATTGTGACATTTCTTTTCCTTTTTTTCCCCCCCAGAAGAAAAATTTGCCCAAGCAGTGTGCTTTTTGCTTGTAGACCTGTATATATTAACCTACCAAGCTGAGAAAGCTTTGCATCTTCTTGCTGTCCTAGAAAAAATGATTTCACAGGGTAACAATAACAAAAATGGGAAGAATGAGGTAAGTGTAATATATGGCTCATTTTTTATTATTAAATATGTTTATAGTTTTGGAATATAATCCACATACAAAAAAATTATCATTTTAAAGTGTACAGTTTAGTGGTTTACTCATAGATTTGTAAACCATCGCTATTAAGTAATTAGCATTATTCCTAAATACCAGGTGATAAAATATTTCACTTTTATATTCAGTACTTACAACAGTTGATGAAATATAATTCACTTTGATAGTTATGTGTTCTGCTAGGTACTAAGTTGACAAAAATGAAAACATTGCAGTTCCTGCTTTTCCAGGAACTCAGGTCAGAGGAGAAAGATTGAACAACTTCTGTTTTTAGGTAGAGAGGAAGGAGGATAGGGAATGTTTGGATTTTAATTTGAGTCTTGAAAAATGTAATCATTTGACAAATCGGGGGATAGGGCAGGATAACCCCACTGGCAGAGGAAAAAAGCACAAAAGGTGTATGTTTGGTCTACATGGTACCTGAGAAGTGTAATGAAGATCAGTGGGAGAGAAGATTGGCAATGTAAATACGGGTTATGCAGTGAGAGACTTTGAATCCATTGTTGTTGACTGTTTAGTACTGGAGAAAATTTTTACGAATTCCTGGAGAATTTTCTTTAGAAAATGATTGCAAGTAGTACTCATGATTTTGAAACCTACCCAGTCTATGCTTCTTAAACCTTGAGCTTCTCAGAGTTTCCTGTCACCGACTTTAAACTATTATTAAACTTGAATTTCTGGGGGTGGAACTTGGGATTCCTAATTTTGAAAGTGCTCACTGGATGATTCAGATTTCCTCACTTGGGTATAATATAAATAACTTAAATTAAAAATATATAGTTTTGGCGGCGAGCACGGTCGCCGGCTGCCAGACCATGCTGAGCGGAGCGCGCGGCCGGCTCGCCTCTGCGCTGCGGGAGACGCGAGCGCTGCCGGCCGCGGTCGCCCTTCGGCGCCTGCACGCATCGGGGGCGCGGCCGTCGGTGGACCGGAGGGAGCGGGCAGAGGGTGCCTTCGACCCGGCGCTGCTGGAGCTCTTGGTGTGCCCGCTCTCCAAGAAGCCGCTCCGATATGACGCATCAACGAATGAATTGATTAATGAAGAGTTGGGAATAGCTTATCCAATCATTGATGGGATTCCCAATATGATACCACAGGCAGCCAGGAGGACACATCAAAGTACGAAGCAAGAAGAAAGAGTAACACCAGATCAGAATTAAAAACTACACAGCATTTTATTTTTCTTAACACCTTCTGCCTGATCAAAAGTCGTATCACAGTGGCGGGAAATAACTGGGGGAGAAGAATGTTTTTGTCTCTTCCTACGTTGACTGTCCTTATTCCACTGGTATCTTTAGCAGGACTGTTCTACTCAGCCTCTGTGGAGGAAAACTTCCCACAGGGCTGCACTAGCACAGCCAGCCTGTGTTTTTACAGTCTGCTCTTGCCCATTACCATACCAGTTTATGTGTTCTTCCATCTTTGGACTTGGATGGGTATCAAACTCTTCAGGCATAATTAATGCAACAAGAACCAACATGGTATATATCAATAATTTGGCTTGAGCAACTCTGAAAGCTCAACTCCATGGAAATACTAGAAATCCACTTAATTTGTAGGAAAGATGCTTTACCTTGATTAGAGGCTTAGGACTATGAGAGGTGGCATAAGCTGTGGAAGGATCTTTTATTGTATTTTTGTTCTGCCCTTTTTTTCAGATTTTAATTTATAACTGCTATATCAGAAAAACATTTCAGAAAAGTCTTGGAAATTAATACACCCAACTGTCATGATTATTTCTTACCCCATTATCTTAAAGTTAATAATTTGAAATTTTATATTTCAGAATCTTTGGTAAAGTCACACGTTAATGATGACTGAAATATTTTTAAAGGCGCTATATTGAAGTAATTGGTAGAGATAAGCATTTAAAACTACAGTAAAATGGAAATTTTACATACTTGCAAAAATTTGGTGTTTGTAAAATTACCTTTATTTCTTTGGCATCAAATGCTTACATTAAAATAAGATGTTAACACTTTCATAAAAAAAAAAAATATATATAGTTTTGGTTAATTTTGTATCACCACCCTACAGACTGGCAACAATACCAACAAAGATGGATCTAACCACAAAGCTGAAAGTGGAGCTCTAATAGAAGCTGCTAAATCAAAGATCCACCAGGTGACATAAATTTTAAAAAGGTTATACATTGCATTTGTAGTTATGAATAAATGAAGAATGTGATAGATCATTGAAAGCAGGAAATAATTCAATGCATACACTTTTATTTGGTTTTGAAATACTATGATTTTTTTAAAAGGATTTATTTATTAATACAAAATCTGGGGTGTAAACCAGAGGTGTCAGGGGGGTGGGGGTGAGAGGATTCACCAGAGAGAGTAGGGAGCAGAACTGGCAGATCTACTGAAATACACTGCTGAGGGGAGCAGTGGGTGAGACAGGGAAGTCTGCTACGCCATGTGGGTTGCTCCTTGGCCCATGGAACTCATGCTGCAGTGGCTGGCGGTAGCTTGATAGTGCTATCCCTGCGCCACCAGGGAGGCCCTGAAGTATTATGATTTAAAACACATTTACCCTTCTAAATATACTTTGCTTAAGATAATAATGTGATATCATTTCTTTTAATTCCTCTATAGGAGATTGAGAGAAATGACCTAGGAATATATTGAAGGATAAAATCAATTTGTATAATTTAAAATTCATTGCTATTTAGCCATGTACAGATAAGAATTGACAGGATTTTTTCATTTTTGGAATCTATTTTTATAGTAAAAATAGATTATCTAAGATAATTTTAAGTTTGCTTTTACAAATAACTGTTATATTACAAATTGGTTGTTATTTCCTTAGCTGTAAAGTAAAACCACTTTAGCATGTGTAAATCCACTTTAGTTCCTACATACTAACATTTTTTCTTTGAACAGTATAAAGTAAGAGCTTATATCCAAATGAAGTCCCTGAAGGCATGCAAAAGGGAAATCAAGTCAGTCATGAACACAGCTGGGAATGTAAGTATCTTGTCTTTTCTCTTATTGTTTCTATGTCCTAAAATGTCTTCATTGGACAATGAGTATTTTTCAGTTTCAAGTAGTTTATTTTAACCTATTTTAGTATATACATACACTGTCCTCATGGATACAAACCTTGATATAGAGTTGAGAAGTAGGGGTCATACTGTGTCTACAATTTAATATATGTTTTTCACTTAGAAATTTTAAGACTTATCTAATTCATTTATGTTCTTGAACATGTATCAGTGTAGCCATGTGATTATAATCTCGTATTAGGCATATGAAAACAAATTCTAAGTAACATGTACTCTCTTTACAGTCCGCACCCTCTCTCTTTCTCAAAAGCAATTTTGAGTACTTACGAGGCAATTACAGAAAAGCTGTGAAGCTATTAAATAGTTCAAACATTGCTGAGCATCCAGGATTCATGAAAACAGGTAAAAGAAAACTGTTATTTAAAGAAGTGTGAACTCAAAAAACATTGGAGACTTGAAGTTTAATAAACAAAAAAAGGAGGGTATTATATGTTCTATTTTATGTGGTCCTGCTATTCTTGCTTACTGCATTTTGATTGTTCCCAGTTTTTTTCTGAATATTGTTTTGTTGTATGTGTGCAATTTACCTATTATGTTAGTGATACATACGTAATTTGCCTCTAATTGTTAAATCACAGAATTAAACCACAGGAAACTAAACAGACTTAACAATATGGTAAGATTAGTTTGCCACCTTTTTTTTTTTATTTTTATTTTTTAAAGATTTATCTATTCATATAAGAGCTGGGTACAGGCCAGAGGTGTGGGGGGAGTGAGAGGACTCATCAGAGACAGAGTGGGGAACAGAACAGGCAGACTGACTCAAATACACTGCTGAGGGGAGCAGCAGGTGAGACAGGAGAGGTCTGCCTCGCCATGTGGGTTGCTCCCTGGCTAGCCAGGGCTCGAACTCATGCCGCAGAGGCTGCGGATTGCTTCATAGTGTGGTGCTTAACCCCTTGCGCCATCAGGAAGGCCCCTAGTTTACCACTTTAATAAAAGATTTTTAAAGAAAAGCTTACAAAATTTTCAGATATTTCCTAAATTCCAAATGTTTTTTAAACTTCTCTGTAGGGACTAAGTAGAACTGCACATGGAATTAAATCACGCTAGATAATGCCCAATTCTTATTCGAGGTACATCAGCAGTAAAATTTGTCTGTGGACAAATGTATATGTGTTTTTCTTAGGTGAATGCTTGCGGTGCATGTTCTGGAATAATCTTGGTTGCATCCATTTTGCCATGAGCAAGCACAATTTGGGCATTTTCTACTTTAAAAAGGCTCTGCAGGAAAACGACAATGTCTGTGCACAGCTCAGTGCAGGCAGCACTGATCCAGGTGAGCCCCTTTCCCTGGGGAGTAGTTTGTATAGATTTATTCTCACCGAAATGGTGTTAAGCAAAGCAGTGATTCTATGTACTTAGCAGAATAAATGTTTTCAGTGGAACTTATTGTAAATCTGATGATTTATTATAATCTAATTTTTATCATCAGGCAAAAAATTTTCAGGAAGACCTATGTGTACATTGCTGACCAACAAGAGGTATGAACTGCTGTATAACTGTGGAATTCAGCTTCTTCACATTGGAAGGCCTCTTGCTGCCTTTGAGTGTCTGATTGAAGCTGTTCAGGTTTATCACGCAAATCCTCGCCTCTGGCTACGGCTGGCTGAATGCTGCATTGCTGCCAATAAGGGGGTGAGTGCTGCTTGGGTATCTTTTTAACCCATGCCCTCCCCCGTCCCACCTAACCCCTCTTCCCACTCCTCCCCAGTTGTCACATTGAAAGCAGAAAATACTCAGAAACATACAAGAGCTCATCCCTTTTTTAACTCTTGGGGAATTTATAGTCCTGTCTGTTTTTTATCAGACAAAAAATTAAATTCCATAAAGTCTGTTGTTAACATTCTGGGGTTTGGTAAGTATGGCAAAATGTATCCGCAGTCACCTTACAGAGTTGAAGCCAATAAGGGGGTCATATCTGTCAGAGCAGTGGTCTGCTATCCGCTGGGGCAGGGGTCATGCACTCTGCTGGCCTGAGAATGGTGTGTACAGCAGGCGATTAGAGAAAGACTGGAGATAACAGTGAGTGTGGAAAGAACTGCATTGAACTGAATTTCCTTCAATGTCTGCAGACCTTACTTTTATTTCAGGAAATGGTTTAGATTCATGGATTACCCGGCTGTTTCCCTATGACATATGTTTGTCCGTAGTGGCTACGAGAAATAGGCCAGTTTACCTGGTAGATTATCTCCAAATAGCAGTTGATGGAAGCCTTTTGAATCTCAAGTGGGGAGGGATTATTGGGGGTAAGAGAAAGAGAGGTGGTATCAGAATTACCAGATGTCTGTATCACCCATTTTCTACCCCTCCACACCCTCCTTGGGTATGTGGAGATTGGGGAAGTAAAGCATACTGAGGTTTTTGCCTGGCTTGCTGCTATAGGGGTGATATAAAATGATGAGGCTCTCCTGCTGGGCAGCTCTTCCCAAGAAGCAACTATAAGAACTAAAGGACTTAAAGAAGTATGTTTGCCTGTCAGTTTTCACACATTCTACCTACATATTTATGATTTGAATTTATCACTGGGAAAAAGAGGAGTATTATTTCTGAAAGGCTCTAATGACTTAAGTAATTGTACTTTGCCTTTGAAAAGACAATTTTCGGGGTCTCCCTGGTGGCGCAGGCGTTAAAGACACAGCACTGTCAAGCTACTGCCTGCCACTACTGCACAAGTTCGATCTCTGGCTTGCCAAGGAGCTAACCTACATGGTGCAGCAGACCTCTCCTGTCTCGCCTGCTGCTCTACTCAGCAGTGTATTTCAGTCATTCTGCCTGTTCTGCTCCCCACTCTGTCTCTGGTGACTCCTCTCACCCTCCTCTGTACCTCTGGCCTACATCCCAGTTTATATGCATAAATAAAAAAAAATCTTTAAAAAAAAAAAAAAGAACCTGGATGACTTGATAGCGTGACTAGTTGGGATTCCACTTACAGGTAAATCAAAGATTTAGAGTCAAGGGGAAGATAAATGAAATTGGCATCATCAAGCTCATGTAGCTTTTACTATTTTCAGTTTAATGTTTACAGGGTTTGGAAACTTTAATTTCCTGGAAGGCAAGAATTGTGCCCATGTAAATGTGAACATTGGTAGCATGTTAGAGTTTTCACATTGCTGACAATTTAATATTTTTGATTAAAAAAGTAAATATCTGTGTTTTAGGAGCAGAGCCACTTCTGTTTGTTTTTTTTAAAAGATTTATTCATTTATGCATACAAGACCTGGGGTACAAACCAGAGGTGTGAGGGGTGAGAGGACCCACCAGCGACAGAGTGGGGAACTGAACAGGCAGATTCACTGAAATACACTGAAATACACGGGAGCAGCAGGCGAGTCGGGAGAGGTATGCCACGCCATGTGGGTAGCTCCCTGGTCGGGGATCAAACTCACGCTGCAATGGCTACAGATAGCTTCATGGTTGCGTCTTAACCCCTTGCACCACCAGGGAGGCCCTGCTTCTCTTCTTTTTCACTGTGTTTTTGTGGCTTTCTTATTTTCCTTACTCTCATGTCAGCTTGCCTATAATATGCAGCATGATGCCTGGGGTATAGAAAATTCTCAATAAATCATTCTCAGTTTGTGCTTGAGTCATTCTTGAATGCCTTTTTTCTTTAGAATTACCTCAAACTTCATATTAATAGATCACAGACTTTCAGCTTCATGCATTCTTTTCTTCAGTACTAAACATATTTTTATCACCAAAAACCCCACATTGATGCTATCTTAAGAACTTTCTGAGAGCAGTTGTGACAGATAAAAGGATCATTTTTTTATACCCCATGTTTTACAATTCCATTAAGTTAATTGAA